TGTGTCAGGGGCAACGGAATTTGTAGTCCAATGCAACTGGAGGTAAGAACAGCAGAAGCGGCCCAGTTGTAACTTATCCTAAGCCCACACAACTGAAATAACCATGCACTGTGTCTCCCTTACTCCATTTGTCCGATATGTACAGGGCAGAGACTGGTACTCTTGCATTCCCCAAAACAATCTGCACAGAGATAGTATTCCGTATATTATCATGGCAATAAAAATTAACAAACTTTTAAAGATCTGCTCTTAGCTGGTGCTGATGGTAACTGGCAAGTCAGGGTGGACAATGGAAGGGAAACCAAACTCCACCAGAGCCCTGCCTCTTCAGAACCCTCTCAGGAACGGGCAATTGGTGATCCTGCAGATGTGGCTGGAAAGCAAATCTCAACCACCCTAGGCAGCACAGCCCATAAGCCTGAGATGAGAAGAGTGGTGGTTTAATAACATCTGGAAAGCTACCAGTCACCCAAACCAGCTTTAACAGGAGATGTCACAGACTGATCTCTTGGACCTTGTAAGCCCAAAGAAACCTAGTTTACTGTGGAGGGCAAACAAGCTCAATTTGCACTGCTTTTTTAAAGAAATAGCTGACCCTGCAACTACACTCACAAGCCGAATTGCTCCAAATCAGCTCTGCTGAGATTTGATTCACTGAACTATCATTGCTAGTGATAAGGTAATCTGGCACTAAACTCATATATCTAAAGAGTTTTTTAAAAAATTCAGAGGGCAATCAGGAGGAAAGAATGTAGGGGGAGATGTTCCCATGGTCCTGAACATCACACCTCAATTGCCTATATCACCAAAACGCCATTTGAATTATTCCAGCTTGAAACCAATTGCCTATATCACCAAAACACCACATCTTTACAAGAATGAATCATCACATGGGGGAAACGCCATTTGAATTATTCCAGCTTGAAAAAAAGTAGAAGCTCCAGTAGCAGAGGGGGAAAGCCACACGGGGAGCAAAACAGGCCAGATGGATTCACATCACCCTTTGTGAAGTGTGACCAGAAAACAAAACCTTTGAATTATTTGATAATGTAGTCCACTGCATGAATCGGAGGACAATAAACCATTTACCTTCCTTTGCTGGAAACTGGCCCTAAGCAAGAATACTGGTTGGCCATTTGTTTCTAGGTGGTTGATAATCCTGCTTGCATACACAAGAGATCACCTACTTTCCTATAGGCTAGTCTTCCCACCATGATGTCCTCCACATGTGCTGGATTACACTTGTTATCATCCCCAGTGGTCCTGATGCCAGCAAATGATGGAAGCTGTAAGTCTCAAACACCTGGAGAGCATCAATCAAAGGACAGCTACAGTTAACCATATTTGAGGAAAAAGTATGGTGAAGTATTCAGAGCATTGGACTGAGAACAGGGAGAGCCAGCTTCCAATCCCCACTCACTCTCATTTTATGTCACTGGGCAAACCACTTCAGTCTCTCTCTTACATGCCACCAACCTCACAGGGTTCTTAGGAGCATACTCCTGGGGAAAGGGAACCTTTGCAAACCACCCCAGGTTCCTTAGGGGAATAGCTAGATATAAATTAAAACAGTTTAAAAGTCATGCACATGAACAAGAAACAAAGGAAAGTTGCAAAATAATCCCAGAACATGGTATTATTTTCAAAAATGTATGGTGGTAGCAGCAGATGCCCTGATAGTCAAAGCAGTGACCTCCTGAGTCCTTTGCACAAAAACCATTTAATTTCTTCACCACCATCCCAATCCTCAGGAGACAGAGAACATGACACCACAACTGCAACTGGAGCACCCACTATAGGAATTCTTAATTTGTCCATAACAAATTTGAGAAAGGGCATAACACTTTACCGACAAAACATTAAATTGGACAGTACTACATGAAGACCATTCATAAGAAATGACAGCCATTAAAAGATCTGGAAAAGAAATCTCAAGAGCTAGAGAAGACTTAGGGCCACCCATTTTAATGGACAGCTGTTTCTTAGCCTTTCTTAAAAGCTTCAACTCAATAGATTCAACCTGAGGATATTTCCCCCTTAGAGGGGCCATTCTCCTTCCTCTCTACCAGAAAGGAGGGAGAGAAAAAAAGATCTCAAAAAATCAGTGGTTCTCAATCTTGGGTCCCCAGATGTTCTTAGACTACAGTTTCTAAAAATTCTGGCCAGCACAGCTAGTGGTGGAGACTTCTAGAGTTTTAGTTCAAGAACATATGAAGACCCAAGGTTGGGAACCACTGCTCTAACCCCATGCAGGCTAATCTCATGAGAGGACACACTGTCAATCTCACATCAGCCTTGTGCCTGAACATCTCAAGGAGAAGAGGGATGTTTACATTTACATTTCCCTAGGAAGGCCAATTCTATAATTAAGAGACAGTGTCAGGAAGAGCAAGCTCCTTTCGCAATATTCTTATGGACAGCCTTTCAGTTTCTTCATATGAGACTCAGCTAACTGTATGAGTAGAAAATAAAGGATTAGGGTAGCCTGACATCTCTCTACCATACATACCCCCAAACTATAACCCACTTATTTTGCCCCACAGAATGCAGTGGGAATCACTATGAATTAAGACAGAAGTTATCTTTATTAACACCAGCCTAGGGCTTAATTCCCAATCGTTCTAGCAACTGACAATGATACACACCAAGGATGCACTAAAAGCAGTTTTGTGATAAACCCAACCAAACTGTTAACTTAATGTGCCCCCATCAAGGATCATGAAACAAACTAGCCACACTTCTGAAACACTGTCTAATTTCAGGATCTCAAAAACCAGTGGCTGATGACACATTGAACCCAAACAGTTAATACTACACCCAACATTCTGAAATTTGCTAGAATAGACATCTGCTAGGTTGTACTGGGGCCATCACATGTAGAACCACTGAACACATTGTTTGCCTTAATTGCACAGACCACATCTGTGCAGTCTTAAGATCATCTGAGGAGGCCAATGCAGGCACACTTGATGGAGACATGGGAGAGGGCCTTCTCTGTAGCAGCTCCCAGATTGTGGAACGTTCTCTCTTGGGAGATTAGGTTGGCCACCTCCCTTTTATTTTCCACCAACAGCAAAAGACCCAACTTTTCATACAGGTTTTTAAATAATTGAGTCCTGCCTGCTATTTTTTAAGCTTAGTTTTTTTTAAGTTTTAAATGTTTTTGATCCTTTAACGTATTTTATATTATTATTATAGTTCAATTCCCTTGCAATGGATAATTTATTCTGGTTTTAATTCTACTTGATTTAAAGTTGTGAGCCGCCTTGAGTCCCTCATCAGGAAAAAGGCAGTCTACAAATTGTACTAAATAAAATAAACAAATAGCCAGAAACAGGCAACAATGATGTGGAATTTTTCACATGACTTGTTTTCCTAGCCCTACTATGGAACTACAGCCACACACAGGATCACCTTTTAGTGTTGCTGTTGAAAGAGCTAACATGGAGGGATTCTCTTTCAAGAGAAAACCAACATTGGCAAAACCAGCATGTTAGCTTTGGGTCAAAAAGTTCTCTTCACCAAGCAGAATTACAGTAAATGATGCATTTATTATTCCAGGATGTAAAGATAATGGCGTTTTGTGCTACGTTCAGAGTCTGTCAATGTGCATTAGTTTATACAAGTCCTCCATCCACATATTTGACATGTTGGACTATACCACAGCTGTGGATGATGGGACCTACAGTCCAGTTCACAGGGAAAGCACCAGCCTGGGAAGGACATATGTAGCCAACTTAGACAGGCATTTTCAAATGTATATCCTCATAATGGATGGGAGAAGGCCATGAATGCATTCCTTGATTTTTTTTTAAGAATTTCATTCTCTTTGTAGGGAAATCATCCAGCACATATCTTAACTCCTTTAGCCTCAGAAGCTTTTTATTCCCAAAACAGACAGACCTTGATTTCTTATACAAATTGCAAAAACTCTTCACATGCTTTGGGTCATTCATACCTTCGTGTCAGGATTTGTTTTTTTAAAGGCAAAGGCATCAATTTGTTATATTAAGCAGACAATCTTTGCAGACAGTCTGGGGAAAGACTTGGCCAAGTCAAAGTTCCTACTTGCACCCTGCCAACAACAACAACAACACCCCAAACATCTGGCATAAATTTGTGATGTTTGTTTCTTCACTGTTTCTTTCATAGACAGCACTGCAAAAAGTTTGAAAATATTGATTTGGAATTGCCTTCCAGCCTCTTTCTGATAACAGGCTTATGACAGAAGGGATAGTAAAGGGTAAAGTGTTATTACAGTTCACACTGCTGCTCTTTTCTCACTGACAATTACCAAGAGCTTCTTAGTTTACAGAAACAGGAAGGAAAACTCCAATCAAAAGTTACACAAACAGGCTCTTTTGAAGAAACAGAAATGATCAGAGACAGCCATCTGCAAAAGGGCTGTCCCATTTCTGCAAAAACCTTGAAGGGAAGAGAGAAAACATTCAAGTAATTTCCCCCCATTGCGTCAACCGCTCTGTTTCCCTTCCTCAGGAATTCCAAAACTCTCCATTTTTAACTATAAAAATGTTTTGAGCAGATCTCCTCACTCATCAATTCCTCACACTCTTCCTAAGGGACGGAGTCCCCTGGCATTGAAAGGGTGGGGGAAAGACCAGCCCTGAAATAATGGGGTTTCGGGGAAAGAGTGGCCAGTTTTGGATCAACTCATAATTCCTGAAGAAACTCCACCTACATAATGAAAGGCCAAGGCATGCTAATAGCAGGGTAACTTTCTAAAGCCAGATGTGTCTGCTAATCCAAACTAACTGTTTTTTCCACCCACCAAGAGGAAACCTCCCCTTTTTTACCCCCTGCACAGAAAATGAAAGGATGCTGCCTCCTTAACTCCATAAAATAAAATAAAATAAAGCACTTAAACCAACAGCCTTACTAGCTGTTGACACTAAAGGAGACATATATTTTTTCTTTCTTCCCCCCCCTTTCTTTCTGGACCCACCACTCTCGATTCGACACCCCTCGCGTTGTGTTCTCACCGTGTTGTAAAGCAAGGCATCGGAATCTCCTGGTTCTGACAGCTCGCTCAGTTTCCGATCCCAGTGCAACAGGTTCGGGTCCCCGCTTTCCAGCACCTCCATGGCCGGTTCGAATCGCAGCCGGAGACCCAGGAGGGGAAGGCAAAAGACACGCGCCCTCGGGACCGGGAGAAAAACACACACGCACACTTTTACCAGCAAGTCACGGGAAAACAACTCTGTCCCATGGAGCAAAATAATAATAATAATAACAAGTCAATAACAATCGCTTGCAGCGTCTCCCTCCTATTCAGTGATCACTTATCATCACCCCGGTGAGGAAAGGGGTTGAAAAATCTATAACAAAATTTGCAAACTTGGAAGGGGCAACACAGTTACGCTCTGCCCAAGACGCAACAGCTGGACGGCGTTGCCTCTGCGACCCGACCCGCTGGGTTCAGTGGATGCATCAAGCTCCACATCTAGAACTACGCTCCCTACCAACTCCACTAGATCCTGCCCGGAGATCCGCCAACCTCAGGGTTAACACTAGTTCCTGCCTCCCCTTTAGTTCCCCACCACCACCAAGGCTAGGTTCCATCCCCGGCCAATCAGAGAAGCGAAACTCGGTTGCCTCTGTGCCTCTCGGCCAATCAGAGTCCAGAAACCCCTTTCCCGTTCCCCTCCCACCCTCTCAAAAGCCGCTGGCCATTCCGACGCTTTCCCCCAGCTGTGGAATGTGGACGGGGAGGGGGGGGAACCGTCCCATTGACGTCATCGAAAGGGGAAGGCCCGCGGGTTGTTTTTAATCGAGGGGGAGGCGGGCCCTACCGTCGTGTCGTTTGGCCCTCACTGACCAATAGCCTTTAGCCGTGGACGTTCCACCGGCTCGGCTAGACTCGCAGCCTCCGGAGACTGACAGGCGCAGCTGCCAATCCGTTAGCGACAAGACTACAGTTTTGTAGTGGGGGGAACTCCGCCTACTCCTTGGGAGCGGTGATCAAAATAATGGTGGTTGCGGGTTTTTCGGGCTCTTTGGCCGTGTTCTGAAGGTTGTTCTTCCTGACGTTTTGCCAGTCTCTGTGGCCGGCATCTTCAGAGGACTGGAGTAGGAACTCTGTCCATGCTCTGTTGGTGTTTGTCATTTTTAACTCCAAGAATGTCAGATTGAGCCTGAAGGACCCATGTGGAATGCTGCTCTAGCCCAGTAGGTGACCACAGGCTTCTATTTCTTCCCTTGGTCACCATGATGGGACAACAAAAATAACTCTGATTTGGTCGGGACTTATATATGTTCATCTGAGGCACTGTACATCTTTGTGGAGGATGGTAGACATAAAATGGATTATAGAAAGCTTAGGAAATAAACCAGAATCTAAGACTTCCCAGTTTTATCCCTGGGGAGATAAGTTTAGAAGGTGTAACATGCATTTCAGGGACAACGCGAATAGATCAAAATAATACTTTTGAAAGCAGAGGGGTTGCGGTTGACCGACTGAGCTGGAGAGACGGGCTGCCAGTTTGCAAAGATGGAGAGGAAGTTGTTCCAAATAGAATTTACGTCTCCTCTTCCTTGAGTATAAGACTCGGGTTTAATACCCAGGGCGCGGTGGCGTCAGCATCGCCCTGTGGTTCCGGGTTGATTCACCCTGGAATTAGGGCCAAAGTCCTCCTTTCTTAGGGAAACAAGCAAATCAGGGATTTGCGAAGAGGATGTCCTGGCTGAAGGCGACTTTTGAGAGCCGGATCCTGGCTAGCCCAGGTGGCTGAGGGCCAGTGGCAGTCCGGGCCTCTGAAGACACGGGTCAAGGTTCACTGATAATTCATTATTTACTTCACTTTAAATTCCACTTTCTGAAGTTTTCGGGGTAGGTGGAAACCGATGATAACACTATCCACTCTATTTATTGACGCTTCAGACGATAAAGTCACCAGGGTTTTCTGGGTGGGACTGTACACGTTAAAGTTAAAAACATACCAGGCAAACAGTAAACAGTTAAGAAACAGAACCTAAAATAAAACTAGCAACAAAGAATGAAAACAGTGCATCATCAAAAGACAATGATAAGTCAGATGAAAAGCATGTATACCCAAAGGAACATGAATTCATTTCTTGTTGTTTAGTTGTGTCCGAGTCTTCGTGAACCATGGACCGGAGCACGCCAGGTCCTCCTCGCTTCCACCACCTCCTGGAGTTTGGTCAAATTCATGTTGGTCGCTTTGATGACACTGTCCAGTCATCTCATCCTCAGTCGTCCCCTTCTCCTGCCTTCACACTTTCCTAACATCAAGGTCTTTTCCAGGGAGTCTTCTCATGAGATGGCTAAAGTATTGAAACCTCAGCTTCAGGATCTGTCCTTCCAGTGAGCACTCAGGTTTGATTTCCTTTAGAATGAATAGGTTTGTTCTCCTTGCAGTCCAGGGGACTCTCAAGAGCCTCCTTCAGCACCACAATTCAAAAGCATCAATTCTTCGGTGGTCAGCCGTCTTTATGGTCCAGCTTTCGCTTCCATGCATCATTACGGGAAAAACCATAGCTTTGTCGGCAAGGTGATGTCTCTGATTTTAAAGATGCTGTTGAGGTTTGAAAACACAAACTTCTTTTGAAAGAACAGGAGCCTTTGTTATGTGTGACAGAGGAAACCTTGCGCTGTTCCAGCACTGCTGTTGTTAGGGGCCCTGACTTATGGCTATGCCATGAATGAGTGATCTCTCAAATGTCCTGTCCTCAACAACCCTTTGCAAAAACAAAACTGAAACTTCCTTTAGGGAGTCAGTCCATCTGCTATTTAGTCTTCCTCTTTTCCTGCTACCTTCCGCATTTCCCAGCATCATTGTCTTTTTCCAGAGAACCCTGTCTTCTTACAATGTGCCCAAAGTAAAGCAGACTCAGTTTCAATATTTTTGCCTTCAGAGGTAGGTCAGGCTTGATTTGATCTAGGAGCTGCTTACTTGTTCATCTTTCTAGCAGTTCAGGGTGTCCACAAAACTTTCCTTCAGCATCACATGTCAGACAAATCAATTATTTTCCTGCCAGCTTTATTTACTGTCCAGCTTTCATACCTGTGCATGGTGATTGGAAGAATAATAATGTGGATGGCCTTTATCTCTAGTGACACATTTAGCCATCTGTTATGGATGGTTAGAACTGGAATACAGATTGTCTGATCCTTTAGATGTTGTGAAAATGCTGCTCCTTTCAGCTATAACCTGCTTAGCAAAAGATAAGGGATGATGGAAATTGCAGTCCTACCATATATCCTCCATTCTGATTTAGATTGTGAAGTTGTGACACCTGAAATTGAGCTATGCTGCCCTCTCTTCTCCCTGCAGAGTGCAGGAAAAACTTTCTTGCTAATTAAGCACGATATAGGATTTTAGCTGATGTTTTTCACAAAAAGAAAAGGACATGTTGCAATGAGCTAACAAAAATGGATATGGTATTTAAGCAGTCTGTTCCACACCTCTGATTTCCCAGGAACAAAAGAACATAAGAGTCTCAATGGCAGAAGCAGGGAAGCCTTTTTCAGCCCATGAAACAATGTTGAGTTTCAGAAGTCTTGGGGGATATATTTCAGCGAAAAAAATGGAAAGCAAGGAAGGGAAGAGGCACGGATGGGGTAAGTGAGGCCAAACCAAGTGGCTATGTCCCAGTTGATACCCAGATAGACATTTTCCCACAAAATATAGAAAAAGGATGGCTCATGTCCCTGCATGTCTCTGCAGGTGTAAGCCCCAAAGGAAAAGCCTCAGAGACTGTAAATAGAATTTAGTTTCATGCCTGCAAAGCACAACTCAGATCTCTGCGAGAAGCCTAAATCTTTGTAAAATTTAAATATCCTCCTTTACTCTAATCACTTATTGAAGAGAATAGTAAGCAAAATCCTAAGTTGATCCTACCTAGAGAAAACCCATGGTTTGCATTAGCTGTTAACTAATACTTCCCAGTCATTTCAATGAGTCTGCTCTAAAAAGGACTAACAGAAGAGGAGAAGCTGCTTGTGGGCTGGATGAGGAAGCAAGTCCCTATAACCATCTACAAGCAGGAGATTCTCCACCCCTGGGTTCAAATATTTAATTGAATGTCTGTTTCTAGAGTGAATGAAGTGAAAGACCAGATCTGCCCCTCCCATACTGTACAGTATTCAGAAGCCAACCATATGGGGAGTAGAATTGGATTTCAGGAATACACCAGAAGGCAGCAAGATAATGTTGGGATCACGTGAATGAAGTGAAAGAGCAGATCTGCCTCTCCCATACTGTATTCAGAAGCCAACCATATGAGGAACAGAATCGGATTTCAGGAATACACCAGAAGGCAGCAAGATAATGTTGGGATCACAGGCCATATGGCACACCATGAAAACGTTGCCCATGCTAATTACCTGGGCTAACAAATTCTGACAGCCAAAAGTGGTGCTGGGAGGATCCATGAGTAGAATCACACACATACACACTTAATATCCATGAAAATGCATTGCCTAGAGATGTAGGCCATTACATTTAGTGATTTAGATTTTACAACAAAGGTTTTTACCATATATGGAGAGAAAAATCCATATGTTCAAGTGGGATTCGAAAAAGGAGAAACTAGAGATTGTATTACAACTACATTTTGGTACTGGGGCATGCCAATGCATTTTAGAAGAAAATTGGTTTGTACCATATATCTTATAAATAGGTCTTTGACTCTGGATCATGAAAACCTCAGATTGTTGTAAAAGAAAGGGGTGAGCCACAACGTTTGATTGTCCTCATCATAACCTCTAGACAAAAGTTTCATATGCTGGGTCAGGGTGGAGAAAATTGAGAAACAAAATGGTTTCCAGTTGCCTAAATATCAAAAGCTGGCTGAACAGCTCGGTGAGTTAGATGTCCTTAAGCATCACAATGTATTGCTGAAGACCAATGCTAAGAATATCCGCGCTATGATATTCTAGATCAGTGGTTCTTATCCTTTGTTACGACAAGCTGGCTGAACAGTTAGATGTCCTTAAGCATCACAATGTATTGCTGAAGATCAACGCTAAGAATATCCACGCTATGGTATTCTAGATGCCTGAAAAATGGATGTGAAATCTGGACAATAAAGAAGGCTGCAGGAAAACATTGGATTCATTTGAAATGTAGTGTTGGAGGAGCTTTACTGATACCATGGATTGCAAGAAAGACAAATAAGTGGGTTCTTGGTCAAATCAAGTCCGAATTTTAATTAGGAAAATAAATGACTGAGGCTGTTGTAACTATATACATATAACGAGAAAAACACACTCACTGGAGAAGACAATACTAAGGAAAGTAGAAAGAGGAAGACCTAACATGGGACAAATTGACTCAGTAAAGAAAACTACAGTCTTTAGCTTACAAGACCTGAGTCTGATTGTTAATTACAGGATCTTTTGGAAGTCGTTCATTGCTGTAAGTCAGGGGAAAAATGCTCTGGCATATAACAAGAGTACTGTATGTGGTCACTGCTGACCAATCTGGAACAGGGTCAAAGTATATAAGTAAAAACACTGCATCTCTAACAGCAATTTATGGCCGTTCAGAGATAACTGGATTCCAGCTCCTATCAGACCTAGTCACTGTGGATGATGGGACTTCTAAACCA